TATTAAATTCTTTTTAAATGAAATAAAAAACCTTGCGTTTTGTGCAAAGTAACAATTTCTATAAGCAACAAACTTAAAAAACGTAACAATTTTTAAAAATTTAAAAATTTTTCACAATTTTGGCCATTATTGTATATATATATATATGTGTGTGTGTGTGTGTGTGTAATCTCCTAAAAAATCCAATTTCTTTTAGAATTTGGTCTTTTATTATTATTTTTTTTACTATTCTATAAATATATAAATATATATATATATTGAGAAAGTTAACTAATGATTCCTACCATTGCTGTGTATTCTTGTATTGTATCAAAACTTACTTTATGTATTTCTACATTTCATTACTTAAATGATACTTTTAAATTGTGTTGGATGTTATGTTATGAATAGATCACCACCTTTTTCGAAAATTAGTTTCATTTATCACAGAGAGAATGGAGAATATTTTATTACGCAGAGCAGCCATCTGCGCAATTAACGTCATTCGGCAGATTTTCTTGAATGTTTCTCGAGAAGAGTTGCAACGGGCTGTCTTGATAGTAATGATTTCTTCCAGGAAGTAAACATGAGTTTTTAAAAATTTTTATAAAATTTTTTAACGGCAAAGCATTTTTGAAATTAACGATTTAAAACTGCAGTTTTTGTATTAAAAGTTTAACTCTTCCTCCCAATTTGAGAGAATCTCTTGTTATGGAATGGATCACATTAATCTTACATTACGATATGAAACATGCACATGAACACATTCCCTAAATAGTGTGATTGAAATTTTATTCCAAAAGAGAAGCGTATTTTTAAACAACTCAGTGGCGCAACAGCCCATGAGAGCCAAGGCCTAATGTGCCTCAGTTTACGTGACCTTAGGCCCTGGGGTGCATGTGCAGATATTTCAGTCACGTGGTCAGTATGACGTGATCCTCCCCCCTTCCGTGTTTAGTTCCCATGTAAGCTTGGTACTCATTTTTGACCCACTAAAGGGATGAAAGGCTGAGTCGAACTTGCCCAGCCCGGGATGTGAACCCTGGACCTGTGTCGTGAAGGCGCGATAAAATTAAATTCACTACCACGAAGCGTGTTCTTACAAAATCAAAAAAATTTGAGATCTTTTCTTGTTCAATATTAGGAACCGTTTCATTTCCACCAATCGATATTAAACTTTATCTTTGGTCATAACTTTTCTTCCTAGCATATCCCAGATCACGAATAAAAGACCGTGCATCTTCGAAATTTCCAACCCCTTTTTGCTTAAATCTTACTGAACTATAACTGAAATACTTGGAATCTGATAAAAGCAAGGTGTGATTATTGGCAATGGACGACCATCGCTGTGGCTATGGTCACGAGCTCGTGGATGGCATGTCATGAGTTTGAGCTCAGTGCCGCTTAAGACCCCGCGTGTAAAAGGAGGCCGACACACATTAAATGTGCAGAGGCTCAATATGCTCCTTTAGCGTGGTGTGACAGTTAGAAGAGGCGGGTGCCAGATCAGGTGTTGTCGTCGTTACTCTATCTTGGTTCAAAAGGACCATCACCATTAGCCCACGTGCAGCTTTACTGTTAATATAACTCTCTAAAATAATGGGTTAGCGCCTCCCAAGTGAATTCTCGTACCGTTAAGAGACAGCTAGCAATACTGCCAGATTCTCTACGAGCAGTATCCCTCAAGTCTTCATCAGGGCCTGTTGTTAGCACAGAGCGATTCAACTGGGCTTCACCACCTCTTTTCCACTCTTCTCGAAAGACGGCTATTTAGAGTACCCGTATGCCATCCATACCTTCCGCGGGATTCGAACCCTGGCGTCACTAACGACTGTACCGGATGAGTATCCGGATTTGTATATAATAGAAGGAATATAGAGGAGAAATTTGATAAGCTCAGCTTATACTTATTAACACTTAGTTGTTATTTGTTTGATAACCGGAGACGCTTGTTCACTCTTCAAAGTATTCTCAAAATTCGTCTTTCAAACGTGGCATATTTTACTCACGTTATCGCTTTCAGATTACCCAACCCACCCTGAAGACGCGTTTCGACCAACCGCGACTCGTGAAATAATTGCGCCCCTCATTAAAGAGTAGAGGAAGAATCTCTTCACTACGAGCTTCATGAGTCATGATCCACCCCGCATGAATTTCCTGGAGGGAAGCGATCGTGATGCATATGTTAGCGAACAATCTTCTGCAGGGCTGGGCTAAACGTTTCTCTACCAGAAGAGGGAGCTTCGTTTTCTGACGAGATTCGGCTGTCATGATCTATGGGGAATTTATTGTTTGGGATCGTGATAGGCTCGGAAATGAATTTAAAACTCAAACTATTGTAACTATGCAATATGAACACCGAAACCTCCCTCTAAAACAAGCTAATCACGTGACTTTAAACTCTTTGAGATTAATATAATGTAACTGATGCCTTCAGGATGAACGAACTTGTAGCAAATGTTAGCCTTCAGACGTTTCTTAATATCAAGTATTTTGAAGTGTGTGTGTGTTGGAAATATCTGTATTAATTGCTCAAAATTTTTTGTAATTTTCCTTTAAGAAAGTTAGCTCTCTTTGTACTTCCAACTTCTCCCAAAAACCATGTTACTGCCAGTAGCAGATAAATAAATCGTATTCTGTATAAGGACTTTTCTGACGCTGGCCGCTTTTTTATTTCATTTCCTTTTTCCCCTCCTAGTGTGTCTTCTAATCTTTCTATTGTGTTGTTTCTAACGATCAACGGAGTCAGATTAAAATTCGTCGGGGCAGATTACAACTGTCGTAAATCACCGCTTTGAGCACCATTCACATGACAGTACGATTTGGCTCCGTTTCTCCTCAGTTTTGAGGAGTCCCTCTTTCTGTTCCACCTTCTTATCGAGAGGATTTTCTGCTCGAAGGATATTTAGAGTGCCTCCATGCGACACAGGCGCTATACATTCAGAAACATCCAAGCCTTCTCCGGGATTCGAACCCAGTCCCAACGGCTCAGCATCACTAACCCCTAAGCTGTCTGGGTGTCTCTAATCTTTCCGATCCCTGGCAATCACCAAACCTTGATTAAATTTTTAGTCTTTTTGACAAAAACGAAAATCCGACAGCACTCATCAACATTCCCCGACTGCCACATGCAGATAAGCTATTTGCCGAAAATTCAGAAAAAACTTCCACAGGCACCGAAACGCCTCTCTTAATCTTCATATGATTCCGCAGGAAATTAGTGCAACTATTTACGACCTAGGGCACAATAATGTATAATTTTTCAAAGCATTGCATCATTTTTGTTTCAGTGTGAGTTTTAGCTTTTACCCCATTCGTAGCCATTTCCTTTGAAGACTTAAAAGGCCAAACGCACGAGAGCCTCAACTAAACGAGGAGCACATTTTCAGACGGATAAACGTCTCAATTTTCATGAAAATTTGCAACATTGAAATTCATACACTTTTTTATAATAAAATTTTAAAATATTCCATAGGTAGTTATTTTTTATGCAAAATTGAACTTTATTTATCAAGATACTCCACTTCAAGAGTGATACATTCAGACCAGCGCTCTTTTAATTTTTAATACCTTTTTCGCGTAGAACGAATTGTCTTTGCTCTCAAAATAGGCTTCAACTTCGGCAATCACTTCTTCATTTGAGCCAAACCTCTTTCCCTGTAGCATTCTTTTAAGATCTGCAAGCAGCCAGTAGTCACTGGGCTCCAGATATAGACTGTATGGTCGGTGCGAAAGTAATTTGAGAAGCGTAATTTGTTCAATTGGACTTGTGGCACGGAGTATTGTTTTGGTGAAAAAGCACTTTTTTCATTTGCATTTGAGGACGTTTTTACTTTGTTTATTTCATTCAATTAATCCAATAATGACATGTAATATTCACTTTTAATTGTTTTGCCTTTCTTAAAGTAGTAAATAAACAAAATTCCGCGTGCATCCCAAAATACGGTTGCAATAACTTTACCAGTTGACGTTTCAATTTTCGGTCGCTTTGGGTGGCTTTCCCCGGCTACTGTCCACTCAGCTGACGATATTTTTGATTCAGGCGTGTAGTAATGGATACATGTTTCATCCATTGTCACACATCTATATAAAAAACTCTGTTTATTTCGCTTAAACAGTTTCAAACTGCGCTCTGAAGCGTCGATGCATTGTTGTTTTTAATCGACAGTGAGAAAACGCGGATCCCACTTTGAACACAGCTTTCTCATTGACAAATTGTCATGCAAAATAGTAAAAATAGTGAATACATTACTTCTGATACCTTTAAATTCTCTGCTATCTCACGCAACTTTAGCTTGCGATCGTATATAAAATGATTTTATAAATTTATTTAGTGTTTTCTGGAACAACTGCACAGAATTTGGGTAACTTGAACGGTCACGTTTGATTCGTTTTAGTTCAACATACCATCTCTAAACAGTTGTTAGCGATGAAGCAGAGTCCGAATAACACTTATCAAACCATTGGTTTGCTTGAACGGTGTTTTCCCCCCTAAAAATGCAATATTTAATTAACACACGAAATTCTTTGTCATCCATGATTTCTTAGCAAACAAAAGTTGCACAATTTCCACAAGAATCAATGTAACTTTTCAATTAAACAAGGTGTTATCACGAATTTTCGACACGTGCCATTTGAAAGTTAGTACTACTAGGTTAGACGTATAAAAGGTAGAAGGTAGCGCCATCTGTATGTTAGGATGTGTTATTGAGGGATGTGTTATAGTCTCAATATGTGTGTGAACTTAATGAGCTTCTGTTTTGTTTTTTTAACATTTGGCATAAACAAACCTCAGGAAGAAAGAAAAACAAGCAATATAAAAAAAATCAAGTTCATTCCTACTTAGGTTAACAAAGAAGAATTTTATTTTATAGTTACTTTTTATTAAATAATTTCAATTAATATAAATATGTATATATATACAACACAATATTAAGTGGCACTTTACATTTCCTTTGGATTGCTATTTTTGTTCTCGTTACTATTTATTCATTCATAAATCCCATTCTCAGAAATTAGGCCATCCCAGGTAAGATTCAAAGCCTTTGGATTAAAAGTCCAACGTGCTACCTATTGTGCGACAGGGACACAACGAGCGATTTTCCTTTTTATATATGGTGTTGGACTGTTATTTTTGTTTGTTACTATTTAATCATTAATTAAATTTATTTAATGAATTAAAATTTTTAAGAAACTGTATTAACATCAAGTGTTGCCACTACAAGTTTAAAAAATGTGTTTGAGCTTGAGTGGATGAATAAAAAATATTTTATCAACGATTGAAAATTTGAACAAGATATATATATATAGGAAGAGTGTGAAAACTAATACAGAGAGGAATTGAAAAATGTACTTACATAGGGAGAAATACCTCTGCAAGCTAGACAGCTTCCACTTCCTTTCATGCAAGCTATAGAAACAAGAAAATAAGGATACATCCAACAGGAGAAAAAAAAACAATATATTTTTACATTTTAATATATATATTTATTTTAGCAGATATAATGACCCACGGCAGTCAACATATCAAATGTTTAATGTGTATGTCTCCGTCCATTTTCACTGTATTCTTGTTCAATATTTTATTATGGAATGCTCAAGAAAACAAAAACTTGAATTCCTTTCAAATCCTTATGTTTTCTATGCCCCCTTTCTAGTACAACATTAAAAAAAGTCACCTGGTCGTTTATACAAATAGGCAATAGCGTTCCAATGCTGCCACTGGAGACTTTTATGTAGGTGAATTGCTTTTAACATATCGATAAAAAGTTATTTTCTATAAGGGATGAACGGAGAAATTATAAAAAAATGTATAACGATAAATTATTAAATTGTAAAATGTATAACGACGGGCAATTCGAGAGCTCGAGTTTTTTCCATCCATCCAATAGGCACTTTGAGATAAAATGAACGTCACTACTGAAGAGTCATGGAGGTAGAGAATTGATTGATGGGCATAAGAAAGCCACCCTATTACTTGTTTGTATTCTGGTAGCTTATTCTTGAATTGGAGTCCGAAATTATGATCCTTCCGCTATTAGAAGAAGTTAGGAGATTTCTAGTGGGCGAGATTTTTTTGGTTGCCTCTATATGAAGCTAAGTACCCATATTGTTTATTACTAGTTTGTTGTCTTTTCAACCTATCGTGTATCAGGAAAAAGAGATTTATTGTGATTATCAGTTTGTATCCTTTCTAGCCTGATTAAATGACCTCTCAATCCCTACTGCGTTCGGATCTGGTTAGTAAGAGTCACCTTTGCCAACACGAAGTGGAGGTTCCACAACAATGATAGAAAGATTCAAGGAGGAAGTATCTGTAAAATGTGTCAATGTCAGGCCAAAGAGTGGGTCTGAGCGAGCAATTTGTGGTCGTCACCGAAGGGAAGGAAAAGTCTTCCGATTTGTAAAATAAAAAAAATGTAACAGTGCAGCAGATCAAAGCATGGATCGTTTTGAAATATCTCTGAGGGTAGGGCATGGGTTATTTGTAGTCAAATTCCCTCAGGGTTGATGGAAGACTGTTAGAATTTCTAAGACTAAAATTTCCCATTGTCTAACGAATCTCGCTCTACGTTGCATCAGGGGATGGGCAAGTAAAAGTTTAATTTGAACAGCGAGAAAGCGTGGGCCCTAAGTGCATTGGATACCTAAGTACCAATCTTCTAACTGGTAGAGACTATGCGATGCCCTTTTATTTAGTGTGCATGAATGTATGTATGAAACATTATACTAACGCCGTTGCCAGTCAAGTATATACTGTACTGCTTATAGCTTATTCCAATGCAGACAGGATTATGCGTTTGGCATCGCATCGGTATTGCACTCGATTGGATTGAAGAACACGATGGAGACTTCTCTTTGTTGAAATAGCTCCCCACAATAACCGAATCTATAGAACAGGGATCGGCAAACTTGAAGCTATGACGTACCAAACCAATCTACCAATCTGAACCAGTGTGGTACACAGCAGGAAATATTTGAAACAAATCGATTCTTGCGGCAATGCATGCATAGTTAGGGAAAAGAAATCAAAAATCATACTACACGTCGTTGCCAACCAAGTATATACTGTAATGCTGATAGTTTATACCAATGGAGACAGGATAATGAGTGTGACATATTATTGGTACTGCACTCGATTGGTTTGAAGAACATGATGGAGACTTGCCTTTGATGAGATGGCTTCCCAGAATAACCGAATCTCAAACCTTTAGAACAGAGGTTAACAACCTTGAAGCTATGACATACCAAACCAATCTACCAATATAAACCAGTGTGGTACACAGTAGGAAACATTTGAAACAATTCAATTCTTGCGGAAATGCATGCAGAGTTAGGGAATATAAAGTGTACCATATTAATTTTGCTTCATTTAAAGGTATTTACTAACGTAAAAAAGAACAAAGTAAAATATAACTATACCTTCAACATAAAAATTTAAAATTGCACGTATGTATTATATTTATCACAAAAAGAAACAAATGACAGGGCCAGAGCGCGACAAGCTTGTAAGGTGTGTAGCGGGTACAGAAACGAATCGTGACCCCATAGGAATGCAAGGTCACAAATGCCACAGTTGTGCGAGTTGTGGTGAAAAGAAGCAGAAAGAAAGGACAGAAACACATTTAATGGAACGGAAATTATTTTATTAAACGGTTGTAATACAGCAGGAGTTTTAAATTACGAGCAGAAATCACCTGGCAAGTCAGACAGCGACGCTGCATGAAATTTCTGACGTTCTGGTAGATTCCTCCAGGCAGTCTAACGGAAGCTGAACGAAAAGTTTTGGGAGCACCAATTCTGCTGGAAGTCGCCATTTGTGATCCTTTTCCCGAAGTCAAACGAGAAACTGTCGACAGTGTATGGAAATGTGGATGCGGCGGTTGTGCCAGGAATGTTATCCGTACCTACGCAAGTGTGCTTTCATGGGTTGAACGAGTGAACTGGCTCTTTTGGGTGTTCCTTCAGTCTCATCATGCCAACCTCTTTAGCTGACCGGGAGGATACGCAACATATTAGAAATGTGTCAGAACGTAAGGAATTCCATTCAGCGCAGGTTTACCAGATGACTTCTGGGCGCAATTTCAAATACCTGTTTTCGTACTACCATTTAGTAAAATGTTTTCTGTCTCATTAATGTGTTGCTACTTCTGTTCTTTTTATGTGCTCCATTGCTCACAAATACGGCGTTTGTGACCCTGCATTTCTATGGGATTCCGAGTCGTCTTTGTAACCCCTAAAGACCTTGTAAGTTTGTCGGTCTAGTAGTGAATTGCCCTGTATATATATATAGTTTTCATCTCTTTCTTCCAGGATACAATGTAGCCTCAATTAGCACCCTTTTATTTGATGGTGGTTTATTCGGACAAGAGTTTTCAAACGATGCCACAAGTTTTCAGCCATAGGTTGCCGGCGTCTACTACAGAATATTTGTAGGATCAAAATCCAATCCCGCAACCATCCAATCGTACACTATTGAAAAGTGCTATTATTTGGACATATATTATGAACAACTTATCGATATGGTAGCATCCACTGCAAGAAGAATCAACATTGGCAAAAAGTGACATAACGAGATATTGGAGTGTATACCTTTAAAGTGAATGAGGCTATTACATTAGATTTTACGTTTCTATTCGTAGGCCTTGTATTAATCTTCTTGGGGAAACAATTCTTTGACTGCTCCGTAGAGACGACAATTTTATTATAATCCAAAACCCTGGTTGTTGTTGTTACTAATTCTCCAAGGTGTGACCAAGTCAGACAAGTCTGTTGATTCTGATCAATCAGAGCACAAGAAGTGGTGATGCTCTCTATAACCACAGTCCAGAATATGCTCGGTGGTTGAACATTACATGTGTTACGTATTTTAAAGATTTCAGTGTTCCCACAAAACTTTAGACTACTTATATGTTCACTAGCAAGACATACAATAGCAGCTTCTATCACAGGAAAGGGTGTATTAGGTTAATCGTGGAATCGTGAAAAGATAATAGTAGAAAGAAATTTGTGACTAGGAAGTCGTGTGTACTCAAGTTAATATTCATCTTAGCATCCACACAGTGTTGTGGAAAATAGAAGTTGATTTGTACCAAGATATCACTGTTCGAGAAGGCGTTGTCAAGGAACTTATGAACAGCTATAAAGATAAGTCATTTTGAATAATATCATACGTTACATTATGTGTTTAGAGTAATATTTCTCCCAAAGTTAAGGAATAAGCTGTAAATTGTTCATAAAGGTTAGAACTGAAATTATAAAGTAATTATTTTAAAAGTCATGTTTGCTTCTTCCCCAACACCTGCAACCTCCGGGTTGCGATAGCTTCTTTTAAAATAATTTCATGACCTCGTATTTTTTTCATAAATATACTTTTTCTTCTACCAATTGAATTTAATTACATTGGTAAGAAAGTAATTTTTAAATTTTTCAGTGTAAAATGTTTCTATACAAAAAAAACACGCTTTAATAAGACAAATTTCTTCCAATCTGTTTGATTACATGTTGCCATTTTTCTAGCAACTCTATTCTTCCGAGCTCGTAGAGTTTTTGACCCTTATCAGCGAAAACTTTAAGCAAGTTTTTGTTATTCTTAGTATGAAGCATATGCTCCTTTTTAGTTTTTATAATGGAAGTCTCCTGAAATTCATTCTGTGCTCAATATTGCTTTGTTAATAATTGTGTGAACTCTAAAAATTTTTCTTTTCACATTTATGAGTTACAAATATGTCTGCTCGGTATACCCAAGACTGTGGGTTCGATTCCAACTAGAGTCGATAAATTTTTGGGATGCAAAAGTCGTAGATGCGCATATCATATGATTATGCGGCATGTAAAACAGGTCCGTTGAGTATTAATTTGACCCTGTACTTTCAGAAAAATTGAATCACAGAAATATTTAGCATCCGACGAAAGCTTGAATTAACCCAAATTAAAGCGGCAAAAATTTGGTGGCTGAAGCCACCACTAAATGGGCCACTAATTAAATGGTTTTCACACTTGGAGACTTGCTGTGTCTGCAAAGGCTTAGCGGCTAAAATGCAGCCCATTTGAAGAAAGAAAAGAACTTACAAATATATTTATGTTTT